AGCAAAGCAAAGCAAAGCAAAGCAAAGCAAAGCAAAGCAAAGCAAAGCAAAGCAAAGCAAAGCAAAGCAAAGCAAAGCAAAGCAAAGCAAAGCAAAGCAGCCTCATTGCTATGCTTTACTTCCTCCAGTATTGGCCAAACACAGATTTCTGAGCATGGAAACAAACTTTCCAACTATTGGAAATGTCACTCCAGAATAGGATGCTAAGTGCTGCATTCAGGCAAATCATACCACTTCTGTTCCTCAGTGAGGCAAACTGCAGAATAAACCAATATGTCAAGCAGAATCAAGGCTGCCTCACAAAGGCTTAGTATTTTAAAAACAACAACAACAATCTCTGAAATGCTGCTACCATTATCTAGTAAAACATTTCTGTCCTTGTAGCAGGTAAGTGGGCGGGGAGAGAGGGAGGCTTCCAATGAAGCACTGGAAAGGAGTGGGAGGAAAATTGAGAACTTTTTCCCCTAGAGGTTCAGAAACAAATAATCTCTTGTCAAGGAGATTTCTGACCTATTTGTCATATATTTAAACAAAAGCAGAATATAATGAATAACATAGCTAACCTTGTAAGCGGATCCTGATTTAATGAAGTTCTTTTCTAATATATTATCAAGGGCAGGGTCTAATTCTTCCCTGATATCCTCTATTAAAAGTGGCCTTCCCAGAGAGAGGGCATCCTCTAAGTGCTGACGGAAATATTTATGATTCAAAGTTGTCACCTGAGAAATAAAAATAGTTGACTATAAGCAAAGGCAATATAGTTGATCAAAGTTCTTATTTTCATTTATTTTTAGAATTTTCTTAAAGTTCTTGTAATCATATGCCTGTTTAATCTGATGTAAATCTCAGGGAATTTAGGTTATCTTTGTGAGGACTTATATAGGATTTCATAATTCTCTAAATTTCCTTTTATATTTTAATTTATGACAATTCTTGGAGGCAAGTTACTATTTTTCTATTTTGAATCCCAGATCCCACTTCTGTCTGAAACATTTGAACCAGAATTTAAGCAACTTTTTAATGTTCCTATTTTCTAAGATCAGTGACCTTATCCCAGTGCCCTGTAAAGTACAGTCATGGATTATCTAAAGTGTGAAGACTACATATCTTTGCATTGGATGGGTTTGAGTAGAATTATCTTGCTTTTATTACATGAATAAAATATCCTTTCTGGAAGATAGAAAATAGAAGTAGTTACTACCAAATAGAAGAAGTAGTTACTACCAAAAACACCCAACCCCAAATGAGGACCACTGGGAAGAAGTACCATCATGTATCAGATTAGAGTGTGACACATTTACTTATTAAATATTGATTTAATGGGCTGATAAGCTTCCTTTTTTTGTGGGTGTCAAAGTGGCAAACCTGGGGACATCTCTTCCAGTGACCTAGTTAAGAGAAAAAGTTTAGCTCCTCCTCACCAAAGGAACACTGAGTGTGATGGCTGGCTAGTGATTTGCCCTGGCCCCTGCAATGCAGTAACTCTCTTCTTCATATGTGATCATTACTATAGCTGAGTTTTCTGAGATGGAGGAGTGGAAAAGAAACAAGAATTTGAAGAGAGTATTAAAATTATGTAATACTTACTTGTAATTCATTGTCCTTTTCCTTCTGCTTAATCCATGTTTTCCCTTGAGTTTGTGGATCTATCAAAAGTGGGTATCTGGTTGCTTTTGTAACAATGATGCCATTTTGAACTGAGAGTTCATCTCCTGGAAGCCCTTGCAGATTCCACTCGCCGATCTAGATATGTAGAAGAAGACATAAGATGAATAAGAAATCTGAATCAAACAACAAGAATAAGTTCTGAATTCTGCCCTTCTGGATTCCTGGTTACCCTGGACACTTTACCACTACCGTCATTCAACTGTGAAAAAGTGGTTAATGCCAGCCCATTGTAGAGATTGTGGTCTCAACAGGGAAGTGACATGGAAAAGAGTGGTTTATATACTCAGTGCCCCATATGAATCCCTATTTCCCCATCACACATTATATATTTTTACTATATTTTCCCCATAAAAATGCCTGGCCTTCCAAAGGGCAAACACTTACAGCATCTCCACAGCTGACTAGGAAATTGTATTAGGTTTTTCAAAAACACAAGTTTGAATTCCTTTCATTGTAACACTGTCTCCTTTGTAATATAATAGTACTTTGACTCCATTCTCACCCCAGAAGCAACCCAGGATGACTTAAATACAATTTTTGAGGGTGCAGTGAATATTCTGTTGCTATTTTATAACATTTTTACCATGTAGGTGCAATTCTTCAACTTCTCACTCTAGTTAAGAGCTCGATAATACCCAGGAATATTTTTACTCTGTGGTTACTCTGCTCACCCTTTACACCCAGGCAAAGTTGGCTAGGTGACAACATGTACTGAGACAGAACTAGTGAGAAGGAATTTATCAAGCCAATAACATGTGTTAATAGATTTAGCCAGCCACATAGCACAATAGAATTAAAAATCTAAACTATAAAAAAAAACCTAACAGAACTGGAAACCTACCGTAGGGGGATCTACCAACATTGAAATGATATTCAGATTTTCGGTAAAAGGAATTTTTCGTGATCTCATCTCTGTCTCCCATAAGTCTTTAAGCAAGAGATTCCGGAATATCTGATTAAAAGGGCCACAATAGGAAAGGAAGCCTGTGCAAAGTAACACATCTCCAACAAGCCTAGGAAAAATCATGGAATCTTTCATTAAGATAATTTTTTTAACCTTTTAAAAAAGCAATATGGCAAAGGCATTTTAAAAAGCTCGTTTGAAAAAGGCGCTTAAAACAAATCACTTTGATACCTATTTTACTTCTCAGGTTCAAACTGAAAAGTTTATAACTTTTTCAAAATGTGCACAATTGACTGCACTAACCTCTTGCTTCAGTGAGCTGATTAAATGGAACATAGCACAGTGAAGCAGCATTACCATTTCTGGTATAACCCCAGCAGTTAGTAGCCCTGATTTAAACTCTGAGGAGATGTAAAAAATTAGAGGAATGAAGCCAGATGACAGGTCCTAATTTTGGCTCACCTATCTAGGTCTCCATCATAAGAAGGGAATGAGTCACACTCAAAATTTCATTGTTATCCATCCAGCAGTTATCTGAAAGTTATCTATTTCTAATCATTTAAAAAGATAAACAGTATGATAAAATAATAAAAAGGACAGTTATACTTTATGGATTGAAGACATACATTGATCTCCATTTTCCTAAGACTGCTTTGTATTATTTTAAAATGTATACTATTACTGCATTGGTCATTTACTATACCTATTTATTTGGGCTCGGAACTCTTTACTTTGTTGAGTCCACCGGATTTTCTCTCCACTCAAGCCATCGATAAGGGCAGAGGCAGCCTGCATTTTTCTCCTGCACATTTCAGCATCATTCAAGAGGTCCTGACATTTGAAAATATATCTTATTACACTTTTCAAGAGCTCATCCCAAGAACTGGGCAGGTTGCGCATGGAACTTGAAAATAAATATGGCAACCCCAACATATCTGGCACAGACTCTAGTTGTAAATTTGAGCATGAAGATAAAAAACCTGCCACTTTTTTTACTGGGCATAATTAATTCAGAGCATGCATAGTTTAGGAACCTTAATGGATTTTGGAATTTCACTAACCAAGGAATCAAAATACCTGTTTATTCACAGAATCTTATTTAGATTATCTACACACTTCCTCCTCCCAAGGTTTCTTAAGTACCAAAGCAACTAATCGCAAAACATTCACTTACTAAAAGGCAAATTAATATAGGAATGTCTTGCTAATTTTTTGAGCTTGGCTGGATGCTATAATTATTGTTTAGTTTCTTTCCCTGCAACCCAGGCAGAAAAAGGCACAAATTCACATAAAATACTGATCTACAACCATTTGCCATTTTTACTTTCCAAAATCCTTGTTAGATGAGGCCTAGAAACATTTCTGTAAATCAAGATAAAACTAGATATTTTCTTTATTTGACAACATTCCAATATATCTCGCCTCCCCCTTGTAACCTACCAACCTCTAATTACAAGAATTGAAAAGAGAATTTCAATAAGATATGGCAAAGATCTGAAGGCATCAAGATCAACAGTCTTAACATTTCTGCTTAAAGTGCTAACTAGAGTTTAAATGAAATTTCAGTATCAGACCAATCTCAGAAGCTTAATGGTATGGATATGGAAATGCAAAGGTAGGCAGTGCCAATGTCCACTACCTGATTCCCTCCCCTGCCTCAGAACTGAGGAAGCAGGGTAGTGGTGGGATTCAAATTTTTTACCACCGGTTCTGTGGACGTGGCTTGGTGGGCTTGGTGTGGCTTGGTGGGCGGCTTGGTGGGCATGGCAGGCGAAGGATACTGTAAAATTTCCATTCCCTCCCCACTCCAGGGGAAGGTTACTGCAAAATCCCCATTTCCTCCCGATCAGCTGGGACTCAGGAGGCAAAGAATAGATGGGGGTGGGGCCAATCAGAGGTGGTATTTACCGGTTCTTCGAACTACTCAAAATTTCCTCTAGTGGCAGGGACAGAACTGGTCAGAACCTGCTGAATACCACCTCTGAAGCAGAGGCAATGACTAGTTAAGTAAAGAGCATCCAAAATTGCTGAGCAAGCATTTTCCTAACATAGAATGAAAAGTGCATATAAATAAGTAATAGCAAAATATATGGAATGTGTAATTTGGAAATTTTATCTTGTTTACCATCTTCTCCTGCATAGCTGCATCAAACTTGGCTTGCACTTTGTCCAGCTCTGCTTGCTTCTCATCCAGCAATGATTGTGCCTTCCCCAATTCTGCATTGGCTATTTTTAAGCGTCCTTCTTGTTTTGCTAAATTAGTCTAAAAATAAAAAAAATGAAGCAGCATGTTTACTAAAAATTATTTTTACGTTTAAAGTAAGTTGGTCTTGGAAGAACCAAGACCATATTTGAGTTCATCTTGGAGAAGACACCTGACAATACCATGGACAGTCAAAAGAAAAAAATATTAACCTGGTTCTCACTAAAGACACAAATGATCAGGCTCAAATTATCTTCTTTTCAACATATAAAGATCTAGCCATCTGGAAAATGGCTAGATCTTTATATATTAATTTATAAAATTAATATTGGGAAAGGTGGAAGGAAAGAGAAAAGGAGAATATCTAGCAGTAAGGTGGATGTACTGAGTTACAGTAATGATGGGTGAAACATTGGAAGATGTGAAAGACCAGATTATAGATAGGTTGTAATGGGGGGGAGGGGAATCCATCTTTGTGATTGCTAGAAGCTGAAAATGACTTGATGGCCCATAATCAATCGATTAGTCATTGTAGATATATTTTTTCTATATTTTTCTATAAAGTTATTTAGTAGGTAGTTACTATCTAAATAACTCTCCAATCTCAAAAAAACGCTGCTTTGATTCTTATCCTCTATGTAAAGAAAAACTAAGGTGACAACTTGATGATAAAACAAGAGATGACTGGGCCTTTGGGCAGCTGGCTATATTTGCTAGTTTTACAAGATAAGATGGAATGGGATGGGATGGGATGAGATGGGATGAGATGGGATGGGATGGGATGAGATGGGATGGAATAGGATGGAATAGAATAGAATAGAATTCTTTATTGGCCAAGTGTGGTTGGACACACAAGAAATTTGTCTTTGGTGCACATGCTCTCAGAGTACATAAATAAAAAATAAAATATATTCATCAAGAATCATAAGATACAAAATTTAGTGATAGTCATAGGATACTAATTAGCAATCAAATCATACTAGGAAATAATAAAATATAATAAGTTGTAAACATACAAGCAACATGGATATAACCATAAGTGGGAAGAGATAGGTACTAGGAAGGAAGAGAAGAATAATAGTAATACAGTCTTAGTAGGTAATATGACAGTGTGGTGGGAATTAGTTGTTTAGCAGAGTGATGGCATTTGGGGAAAAACTGCCCTTGTGTCTTGTTATTCTGATGTGCAGTGCTCTATAGCGTCATTTTGAGGGTAGAAGTTGAAACAATTTATGTCCAGGATGTGAGGGCTCTGTAGATATTACAGCCTAGAATATCCCTTCATAGTGGCATATGCAGGTCCAAATCACTTTGTATCCAAATGCTGGTTTGTCACTGCATAGCATATGGTTTGATATTTATGGAGCTACCTGTTTCTAATTGTCTTTGTCTGCTCAAGAAAATCTAGAAGGATAAGCATGCTTGAGTCCTGGTAATTAAACAATATCATCTTATAGGCTTCAGAAGGCATGCCTTCTCCATCACTGCTTCTGCCATCTGGAACAAAAGTCTTTCTGGGGTGTGCATGGCCCCAACATTTCCATTAGATCCTGACTCTTTCTGCAAGCACTGGGTCAGGATATTGTAAGAATCCATCACTGAGCTTGTTATTTCTCTGTTTAATTAAGGAGTTTTTTATATTGTTTAACTATAGTATGCCACGCAGGCTATGGCTTGGGTGGCTTACTATAGGGAAGGAGACAGGGAGAAAGGAAGGAAAGACATCATTAATAACATCACAGAGCCGAAGTCTTTTTCAAAATGATGGATTTTAGTGGTTTTTCATTTTAACTAATTAGCACTATTTACAACACTGTGTACCGTTGAAGGATTTACTTCAATTTGTCCCTATATTTAATTAAATGTATCCATTTTCAAGGGTGGTTAAATTATTTGTTACAAAGTCTCTGAAACTAAAAGTAGATGAGACACTTGATGTCTCTGTAGTTTTTCTGTGCAGACAGAAATGATAATAAGAATCTGTAATAGTTTTCTTCTCATTAACTAGAAATTATTTTACCTTAAGAGGCAATACATCTCTGTTTATGCCGTAAAATGTTGCCATGGCCAGGGTCCAAGAAAGTAGCCCTGCCACGTTACCACAGACTTTTTTGCCATTCTCAAAAGTATAATCCTCCATTTGAAAATAAGGCTGCAATAATTCAACCATCTCTTCATTGATACTATCCTTGGCAAACTGTTGGAGACTCTGGAGAAATGGTCCACTCATTAGCTGTAAAAACAAAAGGGGGAAAACACAAAACATCATTCCCTATAAATTTAATGTTTTCCTTTACCACATTTCTAAGTATAATAGTTTTGTGAGCACATCTTCTCTCTAAAAATAAAAAAGTCTTTCTTTAAACAAGTCTCAAAACATTAACACCATTGTTAGTTCCATTACTGAAATGATGGAGTAAGAATTGTTAATATATGGAATGTTTCAACTGACTTTTCCTGGCTGATTCAGATACCTATTCTCAGTTTATTTATCTGTGATTTTATTATATGAGGTTTTAAGGAACCGCAAGCTCCACAGCTGTAGGATGAGGAAGAGATTTTATAATTATGAACATGGCTGAAATGAAGGATTAAAGAACTGACCTAAGGAAACAGGGGAGGGAAACAGATGAAGTGTAAAATGTTATTGGACTGAAGATATTTGAGAAATGCTAATTATATAACACATGAGTAACCCAAATCATATTATTGTTGACTATCTTCTTAAAGAGAGCTGGCTTGGTGCAACAGTTAAGGTAGAAACTGCGAGACCACAAGTTCTAGTCTCACCTTAGGCTCAAAGCCAACTGAATAATTTTGGACCAGTTATTTTTTCTCAGCACAAGGAAGGAGGAAATGGCAAACCATTACTGAAAGCCCTAGCCCAGAAAAGTGCAGAGACTTGTCCAGGCAGTCTCTGGGAACCAGTCACAACTGAACAGAAGGAAAAAAAAAACTTTAAAGAAAAAAATAAATCAAATCATACTGGCTGTGTGTTTGTGTGTGTGTGTGTGTGTGTGTGTGTGTGTGTGTGTGTGTACATTAGCATGTATGTGCTTGGGGTAAAACAACTATGGTAACTTTTTTCTGCTGCTTGTAGTATGGGAAATTCTTCCTATTAAATAATGCTTTTTTGCTGTAGACATTACACTTAAAAACAAAACATTTGTGAGAATCAGAAACTTTAGGTTAGTATATTATGTTTTTCGNCTATTATATTCCCTTTCTTACCCTACCCTACCCTACTCCATTCCCTGCCCTACTTTACCTTACCCTACCTTATCCTACCCTACTCTATTCCCTACTCTACCGTACCCTACTTCTCTTCCTTTCTCTACCCTACCCTATTCTATTCTATTCTATTCTTTGAGAGTGAAGGGAATTATGGGCCGAGGCATCAGAGAGAAAGTGAAAGCTTACACAAGGAAACCATAAATGTCTTTGAGAAAGGAATATACGATATACAGAATTGGGCTGCTGTTGGGGAAACATAAAGATCATGTTGTCTTTTGTCTAAATAGTTACAAAACCTTTTTAAAAAAAAAACAAAAAAACTCTTATTTCTATACACAGCCTCTGAAAATACAGCGAGCTATAACGCTTAAATATATGTTACGAAGCCCATAAATATATACAGAGTTATATATCCACTTATAGCTCAAGTAGTGTAAGTGTTTTATTTGCTTTGGTCTTAATAAATGACTAATTGCTGAGATATCCTCTGTCCATTTTATTGCTCACTGTTGCATTCCATTGTTTAGAATAATGGGAGAGCCGAACTGAATTTCTTGAAATGCATATTTGGGATTCCTGTGGAGCTTTAGTAGCAATTGCTGAGCGGAGGAGATCTCTTCAGCCCAGCTGCCGAAAAATACAGAATTTGCTTTCATGCGGCAGTTACGTTTCCCAGCCAAAGCTCCCCAAAGGTTTTTCCAGTGAAAATTGTGATAAAGAGATGCTTGGGCATGAGCCATTCAGCTTTCTTCATTTTGACAAGTTTCCTTTTTTGTGTGTGTGTGGCTTTTTTCCATATCGGATAAGCCCAATAACCCTGTTACTACCTTAACAGCTCCAGGGATTTCCTTAACAGCTGTGGCAAGAAAGGTCGTAAAATAGGACCCAAAAAATCATTTAATAACTGCCGTATTTTTTGGAATATAAGACGCACCTTAGTTTTTGGGGAGGAAAATGAGGGGGGAAAATTCTGCCTCTGCCTACTAGCTCACGTCCTTAGCAAACAGCCTGGTCAGCTTCAGCACATCAGTTCGCTGGTTGCGAGCGCGCATGCGCCTCATTGGGGCTGATACGCAGCTTCAAAAGCACAGCTGATTGTTGCAGGGAGCTCCCTTGAGTAAAGGAGGCGAAGCACGGAAGTGGTCAGACAAGGCAGCAACTGTTCTGGGTTGCAATTTTGGCCTCCGCGCCTCCAAATGCTTGGTTGGAGACTCATTTGAAGGCTCCGGGGATTGTAAAAGCACATTGCTGCCCTACCCCCACCCGAAAATGCAACGCAAAGAGGCCAAAAACGGGGCATGTGGAGGCCTAAAATGCGATGTGCAGAGGCTGAAAACGCAATACGCGGAGGCGGTGATAGGCGGCGATGTGCTCTGGGGATCCCTGCAGCCTTGAATGGGTCTCAAATGGAGTGTTCAGAGCAGTGGTGAAATTCATATTCTTTTACTACTGGTTCTGTGGACGTGGGTTGGTGGGCATGGTGTGGCTTGGTGGCAGGGGAAGGATACTGCAAAATCTCCATTCCCACCCCACTCTGCTAGAGTGGCATTTGCCGGTTCTCTGAACTACTCAAAATTTCCACTACCGGTTCTCCAGAACCTGTCAGAACCTTCTGGATTTCGGGGAAGAAGGCGGGGCTTAGCAGTGAGAAGATGGAGTTTTAGGCTACTCCTGAAATTCCTCTATACCAAAGGATT